GGGGGGGGGGCAGGGGTGGGATTCCAAAAAAACCGTATTCTTCCCCATGGTAGCAAGGCTTAGAGTCCTGTGAAGAGTTGGGACTTCACTTGACTCCTGCTTACCTCCGAAGTCCCTTCCAACTCACTCGGGCAGGGTTTCCACGGGGCACTAAGCCACCTTTTAAACCTAAGAGGGAAAGGGTGGCATTGAAGGAGGAGAAAGGAACCCTGGTTTCTCCTTCATCAGGATTTGTCTCTTTCACCCACAAAGCTGCTTCCCGCTGCTTCATTCCTGGCGCCAAACTAACAGCTGCTCATCTGGAATGGGGGATATTGTGGAGCCAGCGAGCTAAGACCATGATACTATAACAGCCAGCAACAAATATATATTTAAATTATAAAGCTATGGTCTATAGCTGCTATTATGCTGAAGGATAAAAGACCCTCCAAACAAACAAACTAAAAAAAAACTCTTAAATATTATTTAAACGTTGAAATCAGGTTAGGGTTAGGATGCAAAAATCCCAGCCACCGGTTCGCTGTCTGGTTGCTGGGTGGGCGGGGCCATGGGGGGGGGGGGGCCTACTGGAACTTCCTGTTTCCGGCTTCCGATGGGCCTCCCAGAACCTGGGGGAAGCCGCTTTCGCCCTCCCAGGGGTCCAGAGCAGTGGTGGTATTCAGCCGGTTCGCACCGGATCGGGTGAACCGCTAGCAAGAATTTGGCGTGGGTCGCCGAACCGGTAGTAAGTTCTGGCTGGCCGTGCCCCCAATCCGGTCGCCCTCCCTCCCAATGCTCGCTTACCTGCCCACCTGACATTCGCCTAAGGTATTTCTTTTCTTTTTTCCCTCCTGACAGTCAGCTGTGCATAGATCAGCTGTGCTGGGATTCTCCTTGCTGAGGCCCAGGAGGGCAAAAAATGGAGGGGGGAGCTCAGCCCCCTCCCTCCATTTTTTGCCTTCCAGAGCCCCAGAGGAGCCTTAGGGGAGCAAAAACACCCCCCCCCCCGGGGCTTCTTTGGGGCTAGGAACCCCCCAAAAAAAGCCACACCCACCCAGTCACATGGCCATGCCCACCAAGCCACGCCCACAGAACCAGTAGTAAAAATTTTGAATCCCACCACTGGTCCAGAGGCCTCCCCCGGGCCTTTGGGTGAAAACAGCCTCTCCCTGTCTCTGGAGGCCCACTGGAAGCCAGAAACAGGCCTGTTTCCGGACTTCCAGAAGGCCTGTTTTCCCCCTTCCCAGTGTCAACTCATAAAATATTTCTCTGGTCTTTTTAGAGTTGCCAACAGAAAGGGAGGGGGCAGCAGTGCAGCAGCTTGCAAGCCGAAACTGCATCCCATAAATGTTTTCAAAGATAGTAACTAGGTGACCGAAGTTTCTGCCATGCAAAATTCTAACTGGAGAACATGATTGATGACTCTGGGCTATGGAGGTGTCCCATTGGAGAATATGAATTAGGATACACCCAGAGGGGTTGAGGAAAACCAGGGTCAAGGGTGACAATGAATGATGTGTCTCAGAGTCGGCTACACCCAGGCAGTGCCAAACATGTTAATTCTTAATAAATCCTTTTGAAGTTTTGGAAGTTTGGCTCGAGACTCATGATTTAATCAGGGTAACTGCCGGAATCCTGACACCCATCCGCGCGGAGCCTGCACTTACCACTATCGAAAATGGGCTGTGTGGAGGCTCCTGGGAGGGGAGGGACAGGGTGGGCGGGGCCAGCTGGTCGGTTGAATTCCCGGTTCGGCGAACCAGATGCAGAGTGAACAACCTGGTTCGCCCAAACCGGTAGAATCCCATCCCTTAGGTAGGTGCAGGGAGAGACACACATTGTACTAAAAGAAAGTATGATTACCATTTGTTTTTTTCCAGAGCGGTGGCCACTGGCTTCGTTGGCTGATGGGGAAAAGCAAAACTGAAGCCCATCTTCCGGATGACAAGAACAAGTCGGTAAGAAAACCGTTCACCCTCCACTGGCATTCTTGGGCACGATTTTCTTCCTTTTTAATATGCAATTCCTAGCTATAGCGTTTGGCCTTGGGACCTTTAAAAACAAACACTTTTTTCATACAATTTTTTTAAAAACAATGTCAAATGGCACCAATTCCAGTCTCAGAGAAAAAAAGAAACTTTCGGGATTGGCAAAGAAAGTTGGAAAAATGCTTCTACGGAGAGGCAAATTTAGACATTGGCACTGTGGTTTCTATCAGGCAGACACAAAACTATCCCTAACAAGAGCTAGTATTTATTTCACTTCACTTAGTCATTAAATTTGTATGCCACCCATCTCATGATCAAGCTTACCCTGGCTGGCTTCCAATACCAGAAATAACAAAATAAAACAATTACAGGATGAAAACATAGGGCATTAAAAGGGAAAAAACATTAAAACCAATGTTACAAGTGGATAAAAAGAATCAATGCATAGAATAGGACCTATTAGCAACCACTTGTGTGTGCAGCTTATACACAATGTAGGAAAATTTTATATCTTTAG